TGTTACTTATTCACCACGCAACTAGCACATGAAATGACCATCTTTGTAACCATCATCATGAAATTAATGAACTAAAAGAATCAACCTTAATATACTAGGTCCACTCAAAAGTTCTGGACAGTTAGCCATTTATATTCAGCTTAATTGCCAAGACTAAAACACACCTCATTTCCAAAGAAAAAGCTGAAACTTTCACCAGTTATGCAATCTCAGTACTTGATCATACAACAATACGTTCTAATTTTATCTAAATCACAGGGCTCCACAACAAATAAAACAACTACTAAAAGGAATCGATGTTCAAGAGGATTATATGAGCATTCGGCTTTGAATAACAACTAGTCGAGTCAAGAGATTATAACAGAGACTCACGACAACTATAAGATACTCTGGATTACAATAGAGTACACTCATAACTAAAATGTGTGGAGCCTTCATGCGCTAAAATAAAAACCGTACACCGTAAGTAATAGTGGGAGGAAAACTCCTTTAAAATAAATGAGCTTCTCAGTTAATTGAGTAATCTTGTTTACCTCTACCTTTTTTTCTTCTACCTATTTATATAATAATAGCAAAGCCATCCAGGGTGGAAAACTATATTTTTCTCAGCATGCTGATATACAACCTATCTCTTCTATCTGTTCCCCTTTCATATTGTATTTGATTACTTTTATCATACTTTTAGCATAGAACCTCTAAGGTAAGTTTGGGGATAGGAGACTGAACTTTATTGGACACAGGTTTTAGTTCATAAATACAGAAGCTATGCACCGAAATTCTCAAAGGTAGAAAAGGACAGAGACCAAGAAAAAAATACCGTCCATAGTTGGAGGAAATTCATATTTTCTATGACCATACTAACCAACCCATTGATTTGAAAAATCTTAACACCTCAATAATCAAGATAAGGGAATACTAAATTTCACAGATCAGGAATTTTTGTCTCCCAGTAGCCAATGAAGCAAAACTAGAGATAAGGGAATACTAAATTTCACAGATCAGGAATTTTTGTCTCCCAGTAGCCAATGAAGCAAAACTAGACACATGATTTTCTATGAAGAAATACTAGTGATTAGATAAGGTGATCACGAAAAATAAAAGAATTAAAGACACATGATTTTCTATGAAGAAATACTAGTGATTAGATAAGGTGATCACGAAAAATAAAAGAATTAAAGGATAAAAATGCTTGCATAATAATAATGAGAACGAATTCAACAAAGAGCAAGACAAAAATGCATATTTCTCAACATCTTGAAACCTTAGCTTCCGCCCCGAACACTTGCAATTCATAAGAGTCACCATGTTGATCAGCACTATAACTAGTTGTCCTCATTTTATAATTTTAAGAAAGAAAGCCCTTTGGAGAATGAGAAAAACCAAACAGAAGTGAAGAAAATACAAATCCTGAGTTCTTTTTCTAGAGGATATTCCAAAAACAAAAGAAAAATTAATTCCTCTGGAAGTAATGATACGGGTGTATCTTCTTTTAGGAAAAACAATCCTCATGGGAGCTTGAGGATAGGTGATTCTCATGATATCTTGAGAATAGAGGCGTGGTTGGATCCATAGAGGACGGCGAAAGAAGTCAGAAGGAGTGGAACGCAGAAGATCAGGAAAAACAGGGTCGGGTTCTGGCCGGTCGACCGCAGCACCCATGCCGGTCGACCGGAGAAACCTGCACAAGGCAGGGTTTGCAGAAGCGCTCTGGTCGGTCGACCGGACCAAAATTGGCGGTCAACCTGATCACGATATTTGGCTTTTCCTGGTTCGTTTTGGATTCTGTTTTGGCAGGGATTCCTGATCCTTTTTGGACTTGTTTATTTACAAGATTACCACCACGTTGTAAACCCTATAAATAGGGATTGTTTAGGGTTCTACACAAGGAGGTTAGAGGCCAAGATGTAGTCCTAAAGGGTTTTAGGTCTAAGTGAAATCCTGATCAAAAGGATTAGGGTTTAGATTGTAATCAGATCTCAGGGGAGAAGTGATCAAGAGAGATTCTAATCAAGAGAGATTCTAATCAAGAGAGATTCTAATCAAGAGAGATTAGGGTTTAGAGAGGATTGAGAGGTTGTTCTCGATTCTAGTGAGATTGTGAGGGAGAGATTGTAATCTTTTGTTCCTCATAATCTAGAGAAGGTATTTCCTTCGCCTTATACTGAATTGTTCTAGTGTTTTGTCATCCTCTTCTCAACCCACCTTTTGGTAATTCCGCGACCAAAGGGTGCTCGCACGACGACTCGTATCAAGTTGGTATCAGAGCGATTAGATCCTGTGGAAGGGGGAACCTGTGGATGGTCCTTACTCGATCGCAATACAAGAAGCTTGGCGAGATCCTTTTTCTTTGGAAAGAGTTCAGAGACTAAGGAAGAAGAAGATGACTGAAGAAAACAAAGATGGAGGAGCTCGAGAGTTTCCTCAGCTGAAGTTCTAACTTGAAAGAGACTTCAAGTTTCTAAAGGGGGACCTATGATACAGGTGTATCTTCTCTTCGGAAAAGCGATCCTCATGGGAGCTTGAGGATAGGTGATTCTCATGATATTTTGAGAATAGAGGCGTGGTTGGATCCATAGAGGACGGTGAAAGAAGTCAGAAGGAGCGGAACACAGAAGATCAGGAAAAACATGGTCGGGTTCTGGCCGGTCGACCGCGGCACCCATGCCGGTCGACCGGAGAAACCTGCACAAGGCAAGGTGTCGACCGCGGCACCCATGCCGGTCGACCGGAGAAACCTGCACAAGGCAAGGTTTGCAGAAGCGCTCTGGTTGGTCGACCGGACCAAAATTGGCGGTCGACCGGACCGCGATATTTGGCTTTTCCTGGTTCGTTTTGGATTCTGTTTTGACAGGGATTCCTGATCCTTTTGGACTTGTTTATTTACAAGATTACCGCCACGTTGTAAACCCTATAAATAGGAATTGTTTAGGGTTCTAAACAAGGAGGTTAGAAGCCAAGATGTAGTCCTAAAGGGTTTTAGATCTAAGTGAAATCCTGATCAAAAGGATTAGGGTTTAGATTGTAATCAGATCTCAGGGGAGAAGTGATCAAGAGAGATTAGGGTTTAGAGAGGATTGAGAGGTTGTTCTCGATTCTAGTGAAATTGTGAGGGAGAGATTGTAATCTTTTGTTCTTCATAATCTAGAGAAGGTATTTCCTTCGCCTTATACTGAATTGTTCTAGTGTTTGGTCATCCTCTTCTCAACCCACCTTTTGGTAATTCCGCGATCAAAGGGTGCTCGCACGGCGACTCGTATCAAGTAACGAGGAATTGGCAGGATAGACTGATAGAGTAAAGAAAAATAAAGAGATTTGGAAAGGGGGTCTACGCAAATGGTTTTTTTTCTCAAAGATCGATGTATGAAGTTGAACACTGCAGAAAGAAAGGTAAAACGATAAATGTCAATTTTTCAGAATACTTACGTTAAAACCTCCGCTCTCTGTTCTGTCAGGCTGAAGGAGATTGAGAAGTGCATCAGATAACCATTCCAAAGGAAAAGAATAATCGATAAGGATTAAATAGTAGCCATAAAAAAGAACAAGGTTACCACGACTCAAAACAAGATGGAAGTTATCATGCTGCTGTCTCTCTTGCAGCAGCCTCAGCAGTCCCTCCGTGAGAAAATCCATCCCCCGTGGACGTATAACTAGCCTCTCCAATGAATCCAGTTAATTTCTCCACATTTTTCAAAAGAGGGCATCCCCCCAGATCGACAACTCTCTTAGTGCAGGAAGATGACGGATCCTTTCGAGACTTTGGCAGCTACGGATGTCCAGCTCCTTCAAGGGAGATCCCTTCAGGCCTCCGGGGAGTGATTTCAATCTCGGGCATTCCGAAACAGACAATGACATTAGATTTGGGAACACAGTAATATCCTCATCTCTATCAAATGACCTCTTATTGGTCCTATATTTTGGGTCCCTGTAGCAAAGCTCATAAGGTTACAAACTCGTGAGATGGTGAAGAAGAGAACCCAACGATGGTGGCTGCATCATCCAAATTGGAAGCCGACGACCAAAGTATCCCACGACATCTAACTTTTCCAGGCATGGCGATGGGGCCAGCTCCTCAAACACATCCTGAATTCTGCGGACCTCTCCTTCGTTGTACTCAGCAGCTGGTGGATCCTCCCATTCTACGGACCTCCTCCTCCATCCGTAAGTGTCGGACGTCGAAGTTTCGTCGTGGCGGACACTGTAGTTAATTCCTGCTTAGCTAAAGGTTTTTAATGAGGCAACTAATGAAACACAAGAATCTACTTATGTCATGTACTCTTTTCCTCGACTAGTTTTTCTCCCACTGGGTTTTTCTAGCGAGGTTTTTAACGAGGCATTGACATCTCAAAGTAATGTCCAAGGGGGAGTGTTGAAATCTAAAAGTCATTTTGTGGAAACCTAAAAGACAAAATGAATGTGGACATTACATTGAATGTGGAATATTAATTAGTGACTTTTCATATATCCAAATGTCCTTTTATTTTCCACAATGTATCTATAAATTGGATGATGTATGGAAAAAGAATAAGGATGAATAAAATTATAATTTCTCTATTTCTCTTGTCTTTTGTCTCTTGTTTGATTTCTTTAATATATTACAACACGTTATCATTTCTTTTGTCTTTATTAGGTCTTTTGTCTCTATTTCTCTATTTCTTTAGTATATTACAACACGTTATCAGCACGAACTCTAACCAACTGAATATGTTTTTGTTGCCATCAACGACTCCCAAATCCTCAATCACTGATCGAAGATAGATCCGGCAAGCGTTGGGCCTCGTGTTCGAATTGCTGTCTGGTGCGGTTCCTGTAGTTGGCGCCATCTGGATTGTTCTGTAAGTATCTGTATTTTTAAAACCTTTCGAGTTCATTGATAGCGTGAGTAATTTTTTTGAGTTAGTGAATATTCTTAGTTTATGATGCTATGATTGAACTCAAATAAGTCTATATTTGAAGATTCCATCGACTATTGACACGAAAAGATCTATTGACCTGTGTCCGCCCATTCCGGTAACAGCAAAGACTTGGAGTTTTCTTTCGTCTTTCTTAACTATACTCTCTACCAAATTGTTTGTAGCACGTTCAACGCCCCTCCCCACGATATCAGACGTATCTATGATAGACAAGGTCTGACGATTGAGGATCAACTGTTGTGACTCGAGTATCTGGTTCACTCCTCACTAAGTTAAGGCCTGACATATCTCTAGATATCTCGTCCAATATCTCATTTAGTTTCTTGATCAGGTCACCAATCTCATGACGGAGACGGATGCTAGTGAAGCAAGAGAATAAGCGAGGGCTGCTACAACATACCGTTGATGAATCAGATGATGTAGACGTCTGGCCTTCAAGCAATTTCCCACCCTCGTGCCTGCATAGGTCAATTATGTCATCGGCATCGGACATGACATCTTTGAGCTCCCTCACCCGCCCTGCAACGGACTCCGATTGGATGTGCTTTCTCTCAGCATCAAGAAGCACATGCTTGATCCTCTCCATCATCCGCTGCAGCCTCTTGAGCTCATCTTTCACGCCCAGGACAGTTACCACCTTCTCCTTAAGGGACGTCAGCCACGTTGCTGACTATGGTTCCAGCTAAAGCATCCAGCACCATGGCTATCTCCTCAACAAATTAAGAAGCAGGTATTGGAGATTTCAGAGAGTTCACGGCCAAATTTCTAGCTTACTTTTGTTTAATGAGGGTTGGGTACTTAGAGAAATGAGTGAAAGATTTATATCATTTTCTATTCTCCCTCTCTCAATTATTGAGGTACAAGATCAGGTGAGAATATGTCCACACGCTTTGCTACAAGTGGGAGGAACATAAGGTCTACGGGACCACAATGTGTTTGACAAATTGCTACAACAGAATGAATAATAGCTGGTGTTTCTTCCATCTAAACAAAACTTCAAAAACTAATAAAGCATGACAGGCCAAACAATGAGCTGCTCGATTTTTTTTCACGCTTTGTATGTGAAAAAAAATGCAATGTCTAAACCATAATTATAAGATAGTTTCTGTTTTAAAAAATAATAATAGAAAGGTAGCTTTCATCGATTCGGTTTATTTTTAAAGGTGGTTTTCATGAAACTTTTCCCGAGAGATTTAGATGGTAACAAAGTTCATTATACAGGCAGGAGGAAAAAATCAATGAAGGAAGTAATTCTGAGAATGTATTTTGTCTAATTGAGATAATAAGAATAGTCAACACGATGCTCGTTAAATCTATATTTGTGCTCAACAATGTTGTCTGCATATATAATTTTTCTTGATGATACTGAGACCCTCTATCTTCCTCATCTCCTTCTACGTACTCTACCATTAACCGATAATGAAAAGCTCACCTTTGCTTTGCTAAATGATTACGTGTGTTTGATTTTTGCACAGCTGGAACAAGAGCAGCGGGTAATTAGTCCAGGTGTTTCTCGAAATGCTGAACGAGCCAATTAGTTCAATCGCAAGTAAAAAATATGGACACGCGCAAGAAACTCAATCTCTGCATAATATATAACAGTGCTTTAGATATGTAGGATACAACAAATTAGAAATACCATACAGTTAATGTGCTATATATCGACATTTAAACAGTCTTTGAGTTGATACCTTGGGTATGTATAGAAGCACTTTTAAACTAGGTTTATGGAAAAGTTCTCCTAGATGGTTATGTGAACAGTCATGCAGGATCTCTTCTTTCGTTAATAAGAAGTACAAGCACTAGTAATAAAAGTGCAGTTTCTCAAGAATCAGTTGCTTTTCACCAAAGGGTTTGTACGATTTTTTTTGATAAACAGGTAAATAATCTGAAACTAAAAAATGTTAAAACTAAACTGTCACGTGCTACGAAAAGAATGCAAGCAAAAAGATAGAATGTTACATAAAACTTACTCCAATGTTTCTTTGATTTAAAACTGTCATTTTAAAGCTTTAACTAGTTTCTCAAAGTTCCAATCATCGGACGGACGCCCGCTTATATGAAGAGAAGTAACAAGTGACATAAAGTAATTAGTGAATTGACTTTCCAGAGTTTCATTACCATACAATCAGAGGACAGGCTTTCAGCCTTTGAGGAAGAGGTGCAGCCCATATTGGCCCTTACCCAATTAAACCTTAGGAGCTCGTAATTGATTCATACCAACTACACAGCTCTTCTACATGTATCAAGTTTATTTGCATTTTGTCAAAAGGAAAATAAAACCATATAATATGCTAATGCCCCCAATTGTTTATGATGTCAAATTACAAAGTCATTTTCTGATATATAAAGTACTAAATCGGAAAATACTTAATCAAAATAGTTGTGCGTCTCATTCACTATAAGGATTGATAAAACATAGCTATATAGGATTAGTCAAGACATCATCCTTTCCATAAATCATCAAGAGAATAAAAGTAGCCACAGAAAATACTCCTCCTTGCAAATGCCTGGTCAAGACATATATAATCTCAAAGGAAAAGGTAGACATTTGTATTACCCAACTTATTCTAGAAACATACAACATCCTTTAAATGATCTAAATAACATTGGTAAAAGAGTTCACCAAGAAACATACACAAAGAAAAAGAGCACTTCTAGCGTTTAACATAATCTGCATTCTAAGACCACAATTTGAGTCAACAATCAACATGTTGCTACGTACCCTAGAAAGAAGAACATGAAACTACTTTCTACATAATTTCACAATCTTTTTGAAATTCATTTGAGATGGCATTTACCTATAATTTAACTATCAGCGAATGAGTAGATGTGAGCACTAGTCATTGATGAATCTGCAGCTTCTTATTGACATACATATTTCTCAACATCTTGAAACCTCAGCTTCCGCCAAGAACACTTGCAAGTCATAAGAATATTCATGTTGATCAGCACTATAACTAGTTGTCCTCAATTTACAATTTTAAGAAAGAAAGCCCTTTGGAGAATGAGAAAAACCAAACAGAAGTGAAGAAAATATAAATCCTGAGTTCTTTTTCTAGAGGATATTCAAAAAACAAAAGAACAATTAATTCCTCTGGAAGCAACGAGAACTTGGCAGGATAGAGTAAAGAAAAATAAAGGGATTTGGAAAGCGGGTCTATGCAAATTGTTTTTTCTCAAAGAGCGACGTATGGAGTTGAACACTACAGAAAGAAAGGTAAAGCGATAAATGTCAATTTTTCAGAATACTTACTTAAAAACTCTGCTCTCTGTGCTGTCAGACTGAAAGAGATTGAGAAGTGCATCAAATAACCATTCCAAAGGAAAAGAATAACCGATAAGGATTAAATATTAGCCATCACACCAAGCACTTCTCCAGAGACGTTAGTGTTCTCCCACCAGCGGTAATCGGTCTCGTAGCGATAGGGTTCCTTGGTGTACCTTAGATAGTGATCACGACCTCCCTCAAAAACAGAGGCATCGACTCTGGGTGTTTGACAAATTGCTACAACAGAATGAATAATAGCTGGTGTTTCTTCCATCTAAACAAAACTTCAAAAGTGAATCAGGTGGATTTAGATTAGAGATGTTTTTATTATTCTTGTTGCACGAGAAATGTTCTGATAGAATGTATAGTCAGCTAATTCTTCAAGATTCAGGCGATTTTGTATACTCTGGATGTTCACGAGAAATGTAGCCCAAATCAGAAGATAGCAAAATAAGCACCATTTATAGTAAACTTTTCCCGAGAGATTTAGATGGTAACAAAGTTCATTATACAGGCAGGAGGAAAAAATCAATGAAGGAAGTAATTCTGAGAATGTATTTTGTCTAATTGAGATAATAAGAATAGTCAACACGATGCTCGTTAAATCTATATTTGTGCTCAACAATGTTGTCTGCATATATAATTTTTCTTGATGATACTGAGACCCTCTATCTTCCTCATCTCCTTCTACGTACTCTACCATTAACCGATAATGAAAAGCTCACCTTTGCTTTGCTAAATGATTACGTGTGTTTGATTTTTGCACAGCTGGAACAAGAGCAGCGGGTAATTAGTCCAGGTGTTTCTCGAAATGCTGAACGAGCCAATTAGTTCAATCGCAAGTAAAAAATATGGACACGCGCAAGAAACTCAATCTCTGCATAATATATAACAGTGCTTTAGATATGTAGGATACAACAAATTAGAAATACCATACAGTTAATGTGCTATATATCGACATTTAAACAGTCTTTGAGTTGATACCTTGGGTATGTATAGAAGCACTTTTAAACTAGGTTTATGGAATAGTTCTCCTAGATGGTTATGTGAACAATTTGTCATGCAGGATCTCTTCTTTCGTTAATAAGAAGTACAAGCACTAGTAATAAAAGTGCAGTTTCTCAAGAATCAGTTGCTTTTCACCAAAGGGTTTGTACGATTTTTTTTTGATAAACATGTAAATAATCTGAAACTAAAAAATGTTAGATAAGGGAATACTAAATTTCACAGATCAGGAATTTTTGTCTCCCAGTAGCCAATGAAGCAAAACTAGACACATGATTTTCTATGAAGAAATACTAGTGATTAGATAAGGTGATCACGAAAAATAAAAGAATTAAAAGATAAAAATGCTTGCATAATAATAATGAGAACGAATTCAACAAAGAGCAAGAAAAAAATGCATATTTCTCAACATCTTGAAACCTCAGCTTCCGCCCCGAACACTTAACAAGTCATAAGAGTCATCATGTTGATCAGCACTATAACTAGTTGTCCTCATTTTATAATTTTAAGAAAGAAAGCCCTTTGGAGAATGAGGAAAACCAAACAGAAGTGAAGAAAATACAAATCCTGAGTTCTTTTTCTAGAGGATATTCAAAAAACAAAAGAACAATTAATTCCTCTGGAAGAAACGAGGACTTGGCAGGATAGACTGATAGAGTAAAGAAAAATAAAGAGATTTGGAAAGGGGGTCTACGCAAATGGTTTTTTTTCTCAAAGATCGATGTATGAAGTTGAACACTGCAGAAAGAAAGGTAAAACGATAAATGTCAATTTTTCAGAATACTTACTTTAAAACCTCCGCTCTCTGTGCTGTCAGGCTGAAGGAGATTGAGAAGTGCATCAGATAACCATTCCAAAGGAAAAGAATAATCGATAAGGATTAAATAGTAGCCATCAAAAAGAACAAGGTTACCACGACTCAAAACAAGATGGAAGTTATCATGCTGCTGTCGCTCTTGCAGCAGCCTCAGCAGTCCCTCCGTGAGAAAATCCATCCCCCGTGGACGTATAACTAGCCTCTCCAATGAATCCAGTTAATTTCTCCACATTTTTCAAAAGAGGGCATCCCCCCAGATCGACAACTCTCTTAGTGCAGGAAGATGAGGGATCCTTAATTTCGAGACTTTGGCAGCTGTGGATGTCCAGCTCCTTCAAGGGAGATCCCTTCAGGCCCCCGGGGAGTGATTTCAATCTCGGGCATTCCGAAACAGACAAGGACATTAGATTTGGGAACACAGTAATATCCTCATCTCTATCAAATGACCCCTTATTGGTCCTATATTTTGGGTCCCTGTAGCAAAGCTCATGAGGTTACAAACTCGTGAGATGGTGAAGAAGAGAACCCAACGATGGTTGTTGGATCATCCAACTTGGAAGCCGACGACCAAAGTATCCCACGACATCTAACTTTTCCCGGCATGGCGGTGGGGCCAGCTCCTCAAACACATCCTGAATTCTGCGGACCTCTCCTTCGCTGTACTCAGCAGCTGGTGGATCCTCCCATTCTGCGGACCTCCTCCTCCGTCCGTAAGTGTCGGACGTCGAAGTTTCGTCGTGGCGGACACTGTAGTTAATTCCTGTGCTTCTCCACAAAAGCTTTCATCCTGTGACAGAAACCGAGCAAGTGACCGCAAGAGATCGTGCATTTTATAATAACCCCGCACTTCTTCATAGATACTAAGATGCCTTCTAACTAGCTCTTCGAAACACTCCCCGGCTAGTTCTAAGAAAGAATCATTTGCGTTTCTGCAAATACTTCAGCTGCACAGTGTCGCACGAGCCCAGCACGAGGAAATCGAAAACCCTCAGGTAATAAAGAGCAATAAAGAAAACATTTTCTCAGAATCTTTAGGTAGCTTGCCCATAGATCCTTTCTCAGAACTTTTTCCCATTCCCTCGGATTTCTCCCTTTTGTTGTTAAAACACCGGCGATGCTCTTAATTGCCGGAGGGAGGCCATCGCATTTTCCAACAATTTAAGCCCCTGCATCTCTCAGACCCTGCATTTCCTCCTCCTCTCCGGTGACATATAAGCTCTTGCAGAGCATTTCCCAGCCAGATTCTGGCGGCAATTGTTCCATGGGATGGATGTGCACCTCCCCCATCTGCCAAGCAACAGCTCCGCTCTGTAGTGGATTAAGTAGTAATTTTATATGATTATTTTTTATTCCCTATATTTTTAACTATTTCAACAATTAACCTCACATATCAAATTTTATTTTTTCACATATTTTCCAAACAAAATGATTTATTATTTAAAAAATTAAACTAATAAAACAATAAAATATTATATTTTTATTATTAATATTGCCAAAATATTACATTTAAGAATACAACAGAAGATAAAATACAAGAAAATAATTAAACATTAACAACAATATAAAAATTACAAATTTAGTATGCACTTAACTATCTGAATTAGTGTATTCCTCCCATAGATGATCTATCAATGCATTACGAAGCGCAATATGGGCATCTTTATCCTTGATTTTTCCGTAACGTGCAATAAATTGAGTAAATCTTGTAGTTTCATCTGCTACCATATCAACTTCTGGTGTTGGTGCTTCCCTCACTTCTTGAATTGGTGCATAAAGATCACGTTCATCCTCGATTATCATATTGTGCATAATAATGCATGCAGTCATTATGTCATGTAATACATGTTTTTTCCAAAAACGTGCTGATCCTGCCACGATTGCAAATCGTGATTGGAGAACTCCGAACGCACGTTCTACATCTTTTCTACATGCTTCCTGTTTCATGGCAAAATATTTTTTCTTCCTACCTTGTGGCTGTTGGATTGTTTGTACAATAGTAGCCCATTTCGGATATATACCATCAGCTAAATAATAACCCATATTATACTCTTTTCCTTGAATAACATAGTGAGCGGGAGGAGCAATACCTTGAGCTAGGTTAGAGAAAAGATTAGATGACTCCAGCACATTGATATCATTATTGGTGCCTGGCATACCAAAATATGCGTGCCATATCCAAAGATCATAATCTGCCACAGCTTCGAGGATAATAGTTGGTGACCCACTACGTCCTGTGTATTGCCCAGACCATGCTGTTGGACAATTTTTCCATTTCCAATGCATACAATCAAGACTTCCTAACATTCCTGGAAAACCACGTTTTTTTTCCAATATAGAGTAGCCTAGCAATATCGTTAGCGTTAGGTGTTCGTAGATACCGCTCTGCGAATATTTCCACCATAGCACGACAAAATTTTGTCATACTTTCAATTGCTGTTGACTCACCTATTTTAACGTATTCGTCCGTAGCATCAGCTGGTAGACCGTATGCCAACATGCGAAAAACAGCTGTTACTTTCTGTAACGGTGATAATCCCATTCTACCAAGTCCATCACTTCGTTGTTGGAAGTAATAGTCATGATCTTTCACTGCATCAACAATACGAAGGAACAAACTTCTTGACATCCGATATCGACGACGAAACATATCTTCTCCAAAACGTGGATTATCGGCAAAGTAATCTATGACCAAATTCTGATGCGCATTTTCTCGATCGCGGTTGATCACTGCATGACCGGGAATCGAGCCACCATGGATCGGTTGGTAGTTGTGTTGACGTAAATTGTTAACGAGGATCATGTTGTTGTTGATGTACTCACAAATTACTTCTTCGGTTTCATCAATCTCTGCAATGATATTGGACAGAAAATTATCATCATCCGAAGATGAAGATGATGATAAGTATGATGGACCTCCAACATCGAAATTCATTTTTGAAGTAAGAAAAGAATGACTGAAGTATGCAGAAATGGAGAATAATAATTTTAACACAACAATGAGTAATTGTGTGGATGTACCTAATCTAGTATGCTATTTATAAAACTTTGCTTAGCTGTATACATTGAACAATGTGTAAAGTTGAGCTGATTTTAGGAAATGCTTTCCAGCTGTTATCAATTTGTCACAAAATTCAAATTTGCTTTTAGCTGTATACGTTGGATAATGTGTAAAGCTGACCTGATTTCAAAAATTGATTCCCACTCGTACAAAGCTTTCACACAATTCAAGGAGAGCTGAGCTGTGTATACGTTGGACAATGTGTAAAGCTGACCTGATTTCAAAAATTGATTCCCACTCGTACAAAGCTTTCACACAATTCAAGGAGAGCTGAGCTGTGTATACGTTGGACAATGTGTAAAGCTGACCTGATTTTAAAAATTGATTCCCACTCGTACAAAGCTTTCACACAATTCAAGGAGAGCTGAGCTGTGTATACGTTGGACAATGTGTAAAGCTGACCTGATTTCAAAAATTGATTCCCACTCGTACAAAGCTTTCACACAATTCAAGGAGAGCTGAGATGTGTATACGTTGGACAATGTGCAAAGCTGTCCTGCTTTCAAAAATTGATTCCCACCGACAACGTTGGATAATGTGTAAAGCTGATCAGTTTGTACAAAATGATTCAATTTCAAATGTTGACCACCGACAAATTCAAACCAACCGCAAATTCAAATTCAAATTCAAATTCAAATTCAAACAAAAAAAACAAATTTGGATTGGCTATAAATAACATTCACGGTTTCTACTTCAAGCCACCCAATTCGAAGTATTTCTTCAAAGTATTTCTGATCTCCAAACCAACCGCTTTTTACAAAAAAATGTCTGTTCGATTAACTGGATACACGGTTACTGAAGATGTGCTCCTTTGTCAAGTATTCTTGGATATTTCTCAAGACCCTATTATCGGTAGAAACCAGTCTCGAGATGCATTTTGGTCTCGTGTGGAGGACAAATACAATGAACTTCGAGATCAGCATTTTGAGATGCGTACGAGCCGATCAATTCGTTCTCGAATGGAAATCATAAGTAATGAAGTAAGGAAATTGAATGCGTGCTTGAGACAAGTAGAGAATCTGAATCCAAGTGGTGCTTCAGATGAAGATATTGTAAGTATTCTATTAATTATCGTTTGAATTTTATTATTATTGTTGAAATACATAACTTGATGTTCACTATAATTTGCAGTTAGTTCGAGCAAAGATGTTATTTATGCAAGAACCAAAGTACAAAAAAGGTTTCAAATTTGATCATGTCTGGAATATGGTTAAAAATTTCGAAAAATTCAAAGATGATGTCCCCACAGCAAGACAAGTTGGTCGAAGACAATCCCAAAGTGTGAACTTCGACTCGTCACAATCAGATAATCCCACTCCGGAATCTCCTATATCAACATCTCCTGGACTGTCATCATTTACTCCATCTGAACGACCTATTGGGGTAAAAAAAGCCAAATTGAAAAGAAAAAATGATGATCATGAGTCAAGCGTAGTGGAATCCATCGAGACCTCCAACAACCGACTTATAGACAGGTTAGACAAGGCGAGCTTGGACAGGCAGGCAGCATTTGATATCGAACGAGAAAAGATAGCCATGAAAAAAGATAGAGATGAATGGAAAATTATAATGAAAGATTTGAATTCCATTGCTGATCCAAACGTGCGGGAGTACGTTCGAGCTCAACAGATTAAAATAATACAAAAAAGAAATCAACAAGAACAAGGGTCTGCTTCTAATTTTGGCAATTATTTTAATGATATTGGACACTCTGGCCCCGATCTACCAGAGTATTGAGAGTTGCTTGTCCATCTCAGGAAATGTTCCATGTTTAGTTTGTACTTTATGTTTTATTTTAATGAAGTTTTATATTATGTGTGTCAGTTTTTATATGTTATGTATTTCAGATATGTAATTTATATTTGAATTATGTATTATGATTGCTCTTTATAATTCATGGGACTTTACTTATAATGTCTAGATTTTAATATTATAATTAATAATAATGTCTTTTAAATTTTAGCATTATTTTTAGCCATAAAAAATAATTTATTTTGTCTAAATTATACAATTGTGGTAAAAGTATAAAATTTAAATATTATTGTGGTTGTTTTAAACATTTAATAAAACAATTGGGGTCAATTTGTGAATTCATAAAAGTATGAGGTAAAAACCAAAAATTAAAAAATAAAAAAAATAAAAAGAAACAGTAATGGGGGATGAACAGTGCGACGCCAAATATAGCGTCGCGCTGTTCATCCCCGCTAAAATGCAGCGGAGAATGGCGCTGCGTTGGAGCTCCGGAGCAGCGGCAAAATAGCGGTTTGCGGCAATTTGGCGTCGCGTTGGAGATGGTCTTAGAGAAATGAATGAATGCACTCCATTATACAGGTTTTTATCATTTTCTATTCTCCCTCTCTCAATTATTGAGGTACAAGATCGGGTGAGAATATGTCCACACGCTTTGCTACAAGTGGGAGGAACATAAGGTCTACGGGACCACAATGTGTTTGACAAATTGTTACAACAGAACGAATAAAAGCTGGTGTTTATTCCATCTAAACAGATACTTCAAAAACTAACAAAGCATGACAGGCCAAACAATGAGCTGCTCGATTTTTTTTCACGCTTTGTATGTGAAAAAAAAATGCAATGTCTAAACCTAATTATAAGATAGTTTCTGTTTTAAAAAACAATAATAGAAAGGTAGCTTTTCATCGATTCGGTTTATTTTTAAAGGTGTTTTTCATGAAAAAAAAACCCCCCAAGATATTAATATATACATCCATAAGATGTGGATAAATACAACCTTTTGTACACCTCTAGTTAAGAGTCTAAGTGGATCAGGTGGATTTAGATTAGAGATGTTTTTATAGTAAACTTTTACCGAGAGCTTTAGATGGTAACAAAGTTCATTATACAGGCAGGAGGAAAAATCAATGAAGGAAGTAATTCTGAGAATGTATTTTGTCTAATTGAGATAATAAGAACAGGCAGGAGAATCAGTTGCTTTTCACCAAAGGGTTTGTACGAATTACAGGCTTTCAGCCTTTGAGGAAGAGGTGCACCCTGTTAGCAGAATTAACAGCTGGATATGTGCTGGCCTAGTCTATAAAGGCAGCATATATTCTTTCCTTTTTTTAGACTAGCTATATATAGAAGAGTATATTGTATATATGCATAGAATTGATAGGCATTTATTCTTATCTTGCAATTAGCCCGACAGCTTCTATATAAAGTGAGCAACTCTCAAAAGGAGGATATTCAGAACAAAACCTAAATTGACATGGTATCAGAGCCACAAATTATTTTCGTGGTTTTCTCTCAGCTTGTTTGAATTCTTGGTTTCTTGTTTTCTTTTTGGTAATTTATTTTTGAGAGTTGCTTGGTGGCTGTCGGCTAGAATATTTCTGGCTGTGACGAATTCTTGGTGGCTGTCGTCAGATGTTGGAGGGGTATTTTTGGTGAATAAGGTTTATACTTTCTGATTATAATTTTGTCGCAATTCTGGTTTGGGTGTGTGACTATCGGTAATTTTTTTTTGAGCAATTTTGTTCCGGTCTAATTATGTCTGGAGAAAATTCTATTATGTCTAGAGAAAATTCTATTGTTCGCTTTAATGGCAAGAACTATGCTGTAGTCGTCTAAAAATGTCTATAGGTGTCCGCACGCAGCTCGAGACGAAGAGAAGACGATGAACGTCATCATCCGAGTCAAGAAAGATTATCCGAGTGGCCCGCGCTTCTCGGTTAACCCCAAAGTGCTTGACGGGCTTGTCGGTCAGCTCTAAAGTGCCTGACGGGCTTGTCGGTAAGCTCCAAGTACCCGTCGCGCTTGTCGGTCACTCCAAATACCGTAAAGAAGCTAACGAGTGCATGAAGCAAGTTAGCGAAGTGTACAAGTCAACAAGACAACCAGATACGTAAAACGACAAAAAGTACAAGTCTGGAAAGTCGAGAAACATCGAAAATGTCAAAAGGGGTCCAAAACCCGAGTGGAAACGCGTGTGACTGATCGGTGACTCGTGGCCGCGCGAGTCACCAAATGGTGACCCGCGGCCAC